CTTCGTAAATTTAAGTTTTCAATTTGAGTTGAGATATGATATTTTTTAAGAGTTTTTAATTGTAACAGAAAAAATTAAATGTGACATTTTTTAAAAATTTTTAACTGTAAAAACTTAAAACTGAAATATTTTGAGACCACCCTTCTAAGTGTTGGTGCTCTTCTTTGTTCTTCCTCTGCCTAATTTGACTTTAGTGAAAGCGTTTCCTTTCAAAAAAAAAAAAAAAAAAAAAGGCAATACATAATTAAATCTTATTATAAAAAAAAACAAATGTTTGTTTTTTTTTTTTTTTTCTCAACACATCCCATATGTCAAATCTCCAAATTATAAAATATTACTATTATATACTATTTCAAAAATTACATGATAGTATGTTAATTTTTTTTTTACTATTTTTTATATGACGATTGTTCTTTTGCATTTTCTTTCATTTCGTGTTTATTATTTTTTTTATGATCGTCTTTTTTGTTTTTAAATGCTTTTTTTTTTTTTTTTTTTTTTTTTTTTTTTTTTTTTTTTTTTTTGCCATTCATTCTTTATTTTTCGTTGTTTCTGCTCATATGCGGTTTTAGTAGGTTCGCACTTTTTTCCCCCCTCTAATCATGCGTCATTGATAATTTGATATACCATTAGTTAGCATGTTCGCACTTCTTTTACCATATTTTATTTTTTTATTTTTAAGTTCCTTTGCTTTTTTTTTTTTCCAATGAATATGTTCATTCTATTCTGACTTTCTCGCTATGCAAGAAAAAAAAGAATTTACGTCCAAAAGTTTCGACAAAAAAGAATAGAGATAAAAAATGTAATATTAAAATAACAAATTAAAATGGAATATATAGTGGGTGTGAAAAGAAAAAATAAAGTGATAAAGAATAAATAATCTTATAAAATTAGTTATGGCTAATTTTAGAATTATAAAGGTGTGTAAAAAATAAAATAATTTATTTAAAATTTATATGAGTGTGTAGTTAGATGGGATGTGATGAATAAAAATAAGATGCAAATAAAACTAATTCTACTTTTTTTGAACTGATTAGTCAGACTATAACAGTTCAATGATTCGTATAAAAAAAAGAGTGAGAAAATGCATTCTATAACATATTTTGAGACCGTGTTTGAAGTTAATAACATATTTTTTAAACATGTTAAGTTAATAGCATAATTAAAATTAGGTAGGATTATAATTATTTATTTTTTAAAAATTCTGCTAATTTTACAGATTTAAATTTAAAATTTAAATTTTATTATAATAAAAAATTTTAAAAAAATTACATTTAATTTTTTTATTATAATAAAATTTTTTTATATAAAATTATATTTTAATTTAAATTAAAAATTCGAATAACGGGAATTTACGCCTCCATCTTTTCCTTTGTTTTTTTGTTTTTTCTTTATTCTTCTTTTATGTTTTCTTCTCAGTTCTCTCTCTCCCCTCTCATTTTTGATTCTCCCCTCTCTCTCTCACTAGCTCTAACCAGATCTTAGACACCGACGATGAGATCTCCTTTGGCAATAACGATCTCCGACCAGATCTCCTCCGATGTCTCTCTCTCTTTCAGCCCCCCTCTCTCTTTCCCAGCGGTCCGAGATTCTCTCTCGTCACGATCTCTGTCCATCATGACTCCCTTCGTCTTCGTCGTTCGAGGACGACGGCGAAGGAGATCGCGATTTAACTTGGTTCCGGATATCGCCAAATCCCGAAATTGCGATTTTCTCCATTTTTCTGGTTGTGTGGCTTTTGTTTGCAGGTTTGATTTGGGAATGGGTTAGGGTTAGGCTTATTTGGGGCTGGAAAGGGGCTGATTTGGGGATTTTTGGGGGCTGGAAAAATGGCTGATTTTGGTTGATTTAGGGTTCGTGATTTTGATTTGGTACAGATTTACCGACTTTTGGGATGAATTTGTAATATTAGTTAATTTGTAGAAGTTTTTGTAATTCTAGGAATTTCTTCAAGATTTTTACAAGATTGAAAATAATTAAGTATTTATGGGTAAATACGATATTTATTTATAAATACAGTATTAAACGGTCGCCCGAGTTGATAGTTAAATTTTTAGATAAATATGATATTTATTAGTAAATATAATATTTATTGATAAATACGGTATTTATCAATCATCGGAACCGGTTACATATTTTTCATATATATATGGTAAATACAGTATTTATTAGTAGATATAGTATTTATTAATAAATACAGTATTTATCAATTGCTGAAGTCGGTCATTAAATTTTTAGATAAATATGATAAATATCATTTTTACCTATAAATATGATATTTTTCAGTTGCCAGAGTTGGTCGCCGAATTTTTAGATTAATATAGTAGAATTGTATTTACCAATTAATATGGTATTTACCACTTGCCAGAGAAGGCCGTCGTAAAATAGTTGTTGGAGATGGTCACCAAAAAATGACCGTCGTAGTTGGCCTCTGGTCGCCAGAGCCAGCCATGATGAACTTTACTGTAGAGAGAAGAAGAGAGAAGTAAAAAGGAGGCTAAGGGGTACTTTTGAACTTTTAATAATATTTTAAACTTAAAATATCAAATCATGTTATAATCTACTATTTTTAAAAAATATGTTATAATTTACTAAACATACTACTAAATATGTTATTTCTTTCCTTATAAAAAAATTATAAGAATATTGTTGATTTTATCTTAAAAGTGTATTGAGTTTAAATTTTTATCTCTTATTCTTAATTAGTATCTTTATTAATATAATTATTTAATTAAAAAGATATTAATTAAAAAAAAGATGAAAATTTATATTTATGTATTTTTAAAAGGTATCCGTAAAGATTACTCTATAATTACCTTAATTCCAGATGACCTTTGTGAGTACTTAATTAATAATTAAGTATTGTTTATTTAGGGCAGACAAACTTCTTTTTGTACCTTTTTTTTTTCATCATTTTCGTAAGAGCTAATTTTCTGCTGTCATATACAGTAACGTTATTCCATGTTTTTCTGGTCAACTGCAAGAGACAAGATTTCAATTTTTATTAATTAATAAATGGTCCATAGAGGCTCCTTTTTAGTTGAATTTCCTAAGCTTTTCAGGAAATTTCGTTAAGAGGTTGGTATGTGCCTTCTTTTGCAGTTATGCAATTTTGAGCTGTACTTTCTTAACCAATTAAAGATCAAGTATGCTTCGGCTAATAAATATGTTATGGTTCGACCAGCTGTTTGGTCGAATTTATTAGATACATACCACGAAAATTAAATTGGAATAAGCTTCAATTAACAATCACTTGAAATGTACACAAATGAAATTAAATATGTTAGCAAAAGTAAATAAATAAAACAAAGGAAAAGGCCTCTTTCCTCCGTAGGTTGGAGTTTTCCGGCGTTATTGGTTGTCCTCTCCTCATGGGGATTTTTTTCTCTTTGGAGTGGTGCGTGCTAGCAGCAAACTCTCCGGCCGACGATGGTGGGAGAGGGTTTGCTGGTGGTCCTCTTATGTGGGAGGCCTACCAATCCTTCACACCGGCCCTCCTTCACTCATGACATGAGGTTCGCAGTTTTTTTCCCACCCTCTTTTGGCAGCAGTCGGTTTGACTCTAAGTATCCGTTGTTGTCTTTGGATTTACCCTTTTATTTTTAGTTTTATGTTTGTCAAATAAACTCAATGATGTTCTGTCATTTTTTAGTTTTAGTTTGCTTCTTTATGGTTGTTTTTTTTGGGTTTTGTTGTAATAACGGAAATAGTCTCCCCACCTTTCGAATTTTTGTTTAGTCCTCTACTTTTGAATCTTTGTGGTAGTCGTTGTGCTACATTGTCATGGCTCTTAATTGATCGTCGTCTCTATCGATTACAAAGCTTTGACAAAAGAGCGTAATGTGAGCTCGTTACTGGCCGTGTGTTGAAGTACTTCTATTTTCGGACTTCTGACGTACATCCTACCCTTTGTGCATTACTGAGGGTTTAATATGCCTTGTATTGGTCATTCACATTGTAATTCCTGATTTTCTTCAATGAATTCTTTTCCTAAAAAAAAAAAAAAAACACAAAGAAAAAGGGAATATAACGAACGTAGTTTATAGCTTACAACGGTTTTTTCCTTAAAGAAGTTAAAAAAAAAAAAAAAAAACAAAGAAAAAGGGAATATAACGAACGTAGTTTATAGCTTACAACGGTTTTTTCCTTAAAGAAGCAGGATTTGGATAAAATGGACTTATCAATATTATTAATAAGTACTTTCCGAATTCGATAATTAATCAAAGATTACCATTTTTCACATGATCTGTTATTTTCGTGGATTGATCAAGCTATACTCAGGTAAAGGGGCACGTAGCAAAACTTCTCAAAGTGTTCTCGATGTTAATTATCATTGAACTGGCAAAGGGCTTTCTAGGTAATGATTGTTCATTTACTTTCAACTCGTGACAGAAAAGGCGATTAATGTTGATAATCACATGATCATATACAGGCTGGTTTTTAAATATAGGTTAATCTAACTACATGTTTCAAAAGAAATTAAGAATTTTCCATTTCCTAAATTGAAGTCAATATTTTTGCCCCGTATTTTATTAATTTGTTTGAATATATATGTTAATTAATATTTGAGATATCGTCTTTGTCACAATATAAAATGGATATTGCAACATTAGAATTTGCAAAGCCTAAAAGAAATGGGAAAAGGAAAAGAAAGAATTAAAGACAGAACAAAGCTGCAGGAAAAAAGCCTAATGAATTCACAATCGTATTAAAAATATTACAAGAACTTTTCTATTCCTTTTTTTTTTTATTTCCTCCTTAAAATACACATATAAAGAACAATATAACACGGACAAGATGAATAAAAAGACGAGAAAGGAACTACAGATTACATGTAACCCAGCACAAGATAAAGACACTTTTGGAAGCCAAGGTAATTAATCAAGTTTCACAAAATCAAAATAGAAACAGAATAAAAGTACACTCATCACAATACATTAAAACTTAAAAAAAATAATAATAATAAAAAGAGGAGGAAATCATAGCCTTAATCAATCGGGCACATGATGAATATCCAAGACTATATATATAGTCTCCCTTGATATCATCAATGCTCTCTTGATCATCAGCAGCAAACTAATTACCTTTCTTTTTTATTTAATAGAACATGATCATGTCATGAGTACGTACTAATTAAACATAATTATCTTGTTCCCATGCATGCACTTACGTACGTAGACACAATCTCATTCTGTTTTTTTTTAACGAAAATGATGAAAATGATCAACCGGTGTATCTGGCGCAGTGAGTGATGGCACTGCAGCCTCGCTTGTAGGGGTTGGCCCTTTGCCGCTTCTGGCAGTTGTAGTAGGAGTGGCCGCGACGGCCGCAGGGGACCTGATTGGCCTTAAGGGCGTCGTAGCCAATGTAGGACCGCCCCCGCGCCAGGCTGCGGCGGCTGGCCTCTGAGTCCAGCAGCATCTCGTTGTCGTCGCCAATGAAATCCCCGATCGCTCCGGCGCCACCAGCCACGACATGGTTGAAGTGGCTTAGGCCGCCCCAGGTGGAGTCCGGGAATGAGTTGGCCTTATTGGCCACCATGGCCAAGGCCAGCAGAAGGAAAACAAGGCTCAGCTTCACCTCCATTGGGAACAATTAATTGATTTTAATCAATTAATTAAATTAATTTTGTCTGTTTTTTTTCTTCCTTTTGATCTCTTGTTTTTATGGTTTGGTTAGAGAGAGATGTTGGTTTTTTTGTTTGTATTGTGTGTTGGCCTCGGTCTCTGCCCTTCTTCCTGACGGAGGAGGGGGGGAGAGAAGGATATAGAGAATTGATTTGTGGAGTTGATTTGTTGGGATAAAAAAAGAGAGGGAGTGGTGTGTGTGTGTGGGGGGGTTTTTGTGGTTGTTGTTTTTGTTTGTGATTTGGGAAATGCTAATTATGGCTTTTTGGGATTCCCGTTTCTTGCTCCTTGTGTTTTTCTTCTGTTTTTGGTTTCGCGACTAAATCGGATCTAATTTTGAGGCTTTTCTGTACTTAATTCTATTTTGGAGTAATTTGGTGTCATTTACTTTTTTCTTTTTTTTTTTTTTCAAGAAAGTAAGAATAAATAAATAAATAAATAAAACTACTATATGTCATTTCGAGGTATGGCTTTTGTCCAACCGTTAGTACCTGTATTTTTTTGTACGGCTCACACCCCATTTCGAGGTATGGCTTTTGGCTTTTAAGAATGTAACATATTAATAGGTAAATTATAATATTAATACATTTTTAAAAGATCAAGTGCATTGCTGTAGTAGTTTTGAGAAGCGAACAAAATGTTACATTTTAAAGGCGACTGATTCAAAAACAATAAAAGCTATGTAAAAAGCTCAACCAATGTTCCCAGACTAGGCGCTTGCCGGAATTAGAGGTGCAAGATGTTGGAGCGTTGGTAAGACAAGGTGGCTTGGCATCTTGAGGTTCAAACTTACTTAGGCTTGGCGAAGGTGGGCTTTTGGGTCACCATGACTGGGCTCCTACGTACTCACGCTAGGTTGGGCTCCACTGAACAAACCTAAGAAGAGTCAAAACGGCCCATAGTGGGCCAGCCCGGCCTAGTTTGAGAGTGGCTTTACATTGTTAACCCACGAGTCTTGTCTTGATTTTTTTCATGAAAAAAAAAAAAAAAAAAATCTAGCATGTCACGCCAACACGTTTGTAATATAAAAAATGTCCCTTATTGTATTATATCTATACCAGTAGTTACTACTGGCGAGTAACTGTAGTACGGTATGGCGATACTAATTGGGGTAGTCCATCGTAATCCTAAAAATTTTTGAACAACTTTGGTAGCCTTCCGTACTACTGGTGGTTTTCTGATAGAATTACTCGATAATTTACACAAAATATATTCTAGTGGTAGAAAAGTCAACACCCGCGGATGCAGGGGTAAGAAATAAGTAAACCTATAAATGATCATGAGTATATAACTTACCGGTATATGTTGTTATTCCGAGTTTTAATAGTATAATATTGATGGGAAGGTTGTAATAAATTAAGTAATTAATAAATAAAAATATATTATAAATACAATTAATGAGATTAAATATTCTTATTAGAATTAAATTTTTATAAACTTATAAATATAATCATTAAAAATTTATACATATACAGAAGATATACAACTACATGTATAATGATCATTTCATAATTACATGGTCATAAATGCCCCCAAATCATTGCGCAACGACTTTTTGGTCACTAACGATATGAGTCTTATCCATGTTTGCTCTGCCTTGCTTGTTTAATCATATATATATATATATATATATATTAATCTAAAAAAACAAGATCTCTTTTTCCTCCTTTCTTTTACGTTTCTGTGTCTGTTACAAGACTTTTGCTTCTGATTATAAACTCGCAATCAGAATTTCCCATCACCACGAATGATCTTCAGACAAATATATTTCAAATATATCCATAACATTATCGATTAAATGATTATTTGAATTTCGTATCATATAGTCGAGAAGTTTTTATCCTTCAAGCATTTAGTCACCTCCTTACTTCTATATATATTTGCATGACATCAAAAAGTTGTTGATCCCATTAGTCCCACTCGAGGAGCCGACTAGTTATTGCTCCAACTATCACTATTAATGAATATGATAAACGTTTAATACTAAAAAAAATAAAAGCTTTTGTAATTACCCTTTTATTATAATATGCCAAAAAAAGAAAAATTATTTAATTGAATAAATTAATCTATTGAGTGGAAAAGAAGATCCCATCTAATTGAATGGATTAATTTCACACGGTCAAGCCGTTACTTGGGCAAATTGCAGTTTTCTGCCAAAATTTTCCAAAGCTTTATCCTTTCCAATCAAGAGCCATCACGAGGTGGGCCATAAAGGTCCTAATCAAACAGGAAAAAAAAAAAAAAGAACCATGTTCTACACACGCCGTTTCTTGCCTTTTTCAACTCATTTACAAGACAAACTATAGATAAATGGTTATCGTTACGTTGCCACTCGGCGTTATTGGTGCAACAAAAAGAGAACCAATCCACACTCTTATAAAAAATCTCAAGAGATTCGTACATGTCAAACACACAGTATCACTATTTTAGAGGTCTAAATACCGACACTAAAAATACAAATCTCTAATAGACGTGAGAGAGTAATATAATGATTGTCTTTTGTTATTATTTTAGCAGGTGATCGAATTGTCATCTACAACTGGATCTATAGACTATGCCCCAGCCAAATTAAAAGGGAACCATCTTATGGGTTACCAAGACTAAAAATAGGATTTGACAAATATTTTGGATCCTAAGTTTGGTGCCTCATCTATGGAATGGGAAAAGAAAACCCAAATTCCTAACTACCTAAGGGCTTGTTCTTTTGATATTTTTGAGTTAGATAATTTGAGTGTATATTTTGAGTTGAGTTTGAGTTATAACTTGAGTTGAAGTTGTTATTTGAGTTTGTGTTTGGTTACCCCGTTCATTTCGCTGATTCGAGTTTTTAATTCGAGTTGAGATGTAATTTTATGTGAGAGCTTTTTACTATAGCAAAAAAGTTAGATGTGATTGTTTGTGAGAGCTTTTTACTATAGCAAAACTCGAATTATAAACTCGAATCAGTGAAATGAACGAGGTTTTGAGTTTGTGTTTGAGTGAGTCAAAACTTGAATTTGTATTTATATAGTATTTTAATAAAAACTCAATACTGATGAAAAATTTTAATAGGGTATATGGGTTGGGTTTTATTCGTTTTTTCGTTGTCAACGCATAGAAAAAAAAAATCATCTTAATTAGAATTAAAATGAAAAAGTTATAGCATTTTTAAAAATAAAAAAATATTGTTCATTAATTTGAGTTCGAGTTTCTGAACTCGAGTTGAAGGAGAAACTTAAACTCGAGTTTTAGTCTCAAACTCGAGTTCAAACTCGAGTTTAAACTTAAAAGAACATGAACTCAAATAAAATTATAACTCGAGTTATTTTTTTTAAGTTTTTTACTCAAAAATACCCCAGTCGAACGGCCTCTAAATTGTTAGTAATCCTGTTGAAACACATGGGATGTAAGATGTCCCACATGAATATTAAAAAAACACTTTCCTGTTCTCTCTTAATGCATTTCTTTCACGCAATGCACACCCAAATAAGTAATTTTTTTTTTCTCAAAAAAAATTAATTGTATTTTCTAAAAATGCATTTCTTAGACAGTTGTGCACCGAATACTGGACAACTCAATTAAGTATATATATAATCCTGTGGACGTTGTAAGCATATATAACCTAATAGTAAGTTCATACCTAATTTCATTTTTAAGTGTTGAGTCATTTAAAGACATATTTAATCGTAATCTAAGTCTGACACTCCAATCGAATGGCTCCAAGCCTCCAAGTGAAAGACCACGCTATGTACATGGGTTTTACACTTTTGAGTTTCACTCTCTTCTGTTTAATTTATTGATTCAAATTTTTTATTTGAATTAAGATATAATTTTATGTGAGAGCTTTTTATTGTAATAAAAAAATTAAATATGACTGTTTTTTAAAATTTTTTACTGTAACAAAATTTAAATTCTAAACTCAAATCAATAAAATAAACTGTTACTAACTCAATTATCTAATGTTGCAATAGTATTGAAGAGCCATGAATTTGGCTTGAAATGGTTCAAATCAGAAACCTAACAACTTCTTCTTAGACCCACGCCTGAACTCATTTCATTTGACTTTTTTGTAGCAAATTATTCATCTGTCTTTTGTTTTATTCTTGTTAATTAGTCTAGGATAATGATCTTCGTTCACATTATTCCAGAAGATCTGTATGCACCATCAACTTAGCTAGATAGTTGAGATATTTCCATGATTGTGATCTATATGTGGGACCCAACACTCATCTGCTTTCTGTTCCGGATGCATATACCGATGCACAACATTTTCCTGGCAGTTTCTTTTATTAATTTATGTATTAAAAAATTAAGAGAAAATTCATAATTGAAAGAGAAAAGAGAAAATTCTTTGAACAAACTGCCCAAATGTTTGAAAGTTTGGTTGACGTTGTTGTTATAATTTCTCTCTTAAATAAAAGCAATTTATTGGTTTCACAAGTATTGGTAGGGACTGAGTTTTTTGGCTGTTATGTGGATATTCTTTTTTTATTTAGTACTTCATTTCAAAAGGTTATTCTAATATCATTAGTTTTCTGCTCTTTTTTTTTTAATCGCTATAACTTTTGTGTCAGTTAAAATAATATTTACAACAAAAAAACTGTTTGTTTTATTAAGTCAATATAGGGTTCGGTTCGTTAATTTGAGTTTTTAATTTGAGTTGAGATATAATATTGTGTGAAAATAAAATAATATTTACAACAAAAAAACTGTTTGTTTTATTAAGTCAATATATGGTTCGGTTCGTTAATTTGAGTTTTTAATTTGAGTTGAGATATAATATTGTGTGAAAATTTTTTACTGTAATAAAAAAGTTAGATGTGATTATTTTTGAGAGCTTTTTACTGTAATAAAACTCGAATAAGTAAAAAGAATTGGTAGCGAGTGAGGATGCCGTATTATTTACATTATATATTTCGGTTACATTTGGTGTGCAGAATAAGATAACATTGGATATGACAGTTTTAAGGCAATGGTTTGAAACGTATAGAAAAGGATAACATTAAATTTTAGTTTAATCCAATCCTATATTTGGTGCTGTGTTCTTAGGATAAAGGTGTTCTTGAAAAAACTTTTAAAATTTGAGATTAAATTGTAAGTTTCTTAAAACTTGAAGGGTAAAAATATAATTTTTTAAAATATTTTTGTCATGTGAAAATAGCAATTTGATCCATCAATTTTTAAAAAATTACAATTGCACGTCAAGTTTTATAAAAACTTATAAATAGGTCCCTAATGTTTTTCACACACCATGTTCAAGTTAATGGAAAAATTTTTACAGTTAAAAAAAATAAAACATTAAGAATTCTAACGATAGCATATAAAAAAAATAAAGTAAAACAATCGTAACCTTTTATGATTTTCACATTTTCATGTCATGAAAATGTCTCATCTAGAGATGTCAATCGTGTCGTGCCGTGCCGACTCGGTCTATGATCGGTTAGGCCCATGCGTGCTTCGTGCCGTATTTAGCCTGACCCATTAAAACGTTGTATCGTGCTCATGCTAGCTTAAGATTTAAAATTATAAGCCCGGCCCGGCCCATTGGCCTAAGCCCATACGTGCTCATGCTTGTGCCGTATTCGTGTTCGTGCCCATGCCGTGCTCATGCCTTTATTGTGCCTGGCACAATAGATCTTTAGGCCAGCCCATTAAATCATTGAGTCACTTAAAATTGTTTTTTTAACAGTTTCAAATAAAAAATAATTCAAATAAAAATATAAATTTCATATGCTATTACTAATTAAAAAAAAGCAAAAAACTTATATGCCATAATAAGTACTAATTTATAAATAGAATTTTTCATTTTATTTAAATTATTGAGAGGAGACAACTAATATAAAGAGATTACAAATTAATATACTACATGTCAAGCCCCTCACTCAAAATCTTATTAAAAATGAATTAATTTTAATTTTTTTATGCAAATATATGATTTTTTTAATTATTTACATATATGTAAATAGTAACAATAACGTAAATATTTTTAAAAAAGAAAAAATTATATTCGCCATGCCGGCCTATCATGCTCGATGGGTCATATTGTGCTCGTGCTTGTCATCACGTCGTGTCATGTTAGATCCACGTGCTTAAAACTATGAGTCCGGCACGGCTCACCACCCCATGTCATGCTTAGGACGACCGATAAAAATCTTGTGCCATCGTGCTCGGTGGGCGATCTGGCCCAAATGGCATCTCTAATTGTGTTTTTGTAATCTGAAAACATTACCTCCTAACTAATGAATCATTGTGCGAGAAAATTGTAAACCGATTAATATTAAGATGCCTGTATGTCTCTGAATTCCTTTCAATTTTTTTCTTCTTCGTTTTGGTTTGTTTGAAAGAGATGATCCACTGATTGATGCGCTGAGATGCATACATACGTCCAACTTTGAATTGTTGCATTAATGAAAATAAAATGAAAGTACACACGCATATATACACGGGCCATGCAACGCATACATAAGAAATATGATGTGATGGTAACTAATAGCTAGGTCTACCTAAAATAATGCTTATAAAGAAGAGAATATTTGGTCTTTTGTCTTTAACACTAATATATTTCTTTATACATGCCCATATTATTTATGTTTCGAGATTCTCGTACAGAATAGGTTTTTGCCCATAAAATACTTTGTTTCTCATATAATTTCTTTATCCATTATCCCCTTCCTCTTTGTCTTGAATATTAAGGCCATGACAGCTGCACATTAGAAATTTAAAAGAAAATGTACAACTTAGAAATTTAAAAAATAATTGGGCATAATTTGAATATATATGTGTGTGTCATTGTCGGTATGAGTGGACATATTTAATGTAGTGTCTAATTTATGTACAAAGAATAACCAATGGCGTGATGACACTTCAAGCATTGGATAGGTACGTGACTCCCCAATGGCCCACAAACATCCACTTCATCAAAGCATATATCGGCTAATTTCTCGAATCCTCTACGGCTCCACACCTACACCCAAAAAAAAAAAAAAAAAAAATTGAAAAAAGAAAAAAAATCACATATAAACATGAATTAAATCAAGGAAAAGAGGAAATTGTTTAATACTAATTTAAATTTAGAGGGTAAGTGATTAACCCAGGGGCATTTTTTTTAGCGCCCCCGAGCCTCTACATTTTTTTTTTATTTTTTTATTTTTTGATAAACAAAAAAGTGACCCCAACGTATCTATCCTATACATTTAAGTAAGATACAGTTTTTCTTGGGGCGTTTAAATTCTTTCTTTTTTATAGCTCTTTTTTTAGTTTCTATTTTTTTCTTCTTTTTTCTTCCAAACCTTTTATTTTTATATATTTTTAAATATATCTCATTTAAATAATTTTTAAAGTTGCCTAAAATGTTATTATTCCTAGTTACCCTACTAAATTAATTTATTCTTTAATGTGTCTCTACGTAACATTTTTTACATGTTATCCTCATAAATTTCAACTTTAATTACGAAACATTTCGCACGAGTTTTTTCTTAAGTTTTTTTTGTCATTTTTTTATTGTCTTTTTCTTTAGATATTTTTTTTTCACTTTTGTCTTTATTTCTTTTATCATTTTTTTAAGTGATTTGTATAGTTATTGTTTTACGTCACTGAAAAAAAAGGGTCACTAAGAATCTAACCCCAGTCTATTTGTTCCAATTTGGTGGTCAATTATGTATCAACCGCATAGTTTGTATGTCTATTTCTAGCACGCCTGTTTCTGTTAGAACATCATTTTCCCATTTCAATTCTAACCTATCTTGCTCATCTTACTTCCCTAAAGCATAACCTTGCCCCTGAACTTACTAAAGATGCTTGTAAGTTATTTAATAAGCAATGCTGCAATAGTATGTTTTTTCGGTGTATTTTTTTAAATGACAAATGTAATAAAAATTATATTGAAATAAATATTATGCAAAAGTAACAGAATCTAGTACTGATTTAATAGTCTCAAATAGAACTACTAATTGGAGAAGATAAAAATTGAAAGTAGTTAGAAGTTGGTTTCCGTTTAGTTCGCTGATTCGAGTTTTTAATTCGAGTTAAGATGTGATTTTATGTTAGAACTTTTTACTGTAGCAAAAAAGTTAGATGTGATTATTTGTGAGAATTTTTTACTGTAACAAAACTCAAATTCTAAATTCGAATCAGCGAAATAAACAGAGTCTTTGTTTGTTTCTTTTTTTTTTTTTTTTTTTTGCCCTTTCGGAAAGTAGCTAGGAGCTATGACACTAAAATGTATATATTTTCTTTGTCTTATATATATTTTTTTTCTGAAAACTTTTTTTTTTGTCTTATGTGAAGTTACTGAAATCCCAATCAGAATCAATCAAATGATAACAAAAAGAGTTGCACACCATACGAGGGTGTTTCACATGGTACCGAACGAAACCCAGGACAAAGTTGAGCTTTTCACAGCTTAGCTTGGATTGCAAGCGATCCTCTTCATTTAGTCAGAGAATTAGATTAGATTATTGCGGCGTTTAGTTCATAGATTTAAATTATGTGATTAAAATTATTAATGAATTTTAAATTATAATTTAAATCAGAAACAAATTTAAGTACCAAACAGACTCATAATATTTTTTCTTGGGTACGTATAACAAAAAAAAAAAAAGGAAAGAAAAAGAAAAATAGATTACGCTGATAAGAGCACTTTATTTTATTCTCTCTTCACTTTCTTCTTTGACGAGATCTTTATTAATTTTCACAAAAAATGCAAGTAAAAAGAAAATAAATAAATAATAAGAGGCTTTTTTTGTTAAAAAATTAATTTTTAATCGTTAAATGTAATTAAAATAAATTAATATTTAATTATTAAATCTAATTAAAATAAATCAGTTTATCAAAAAAATTAATTTTTAACCGTTAATTTAATTAAAATCATTTTAAATTAAAAAAAAATATATAAAAAATTAATTCATTTTTATCGTCCTGGTCGTGTCAAACAAACTCCCAGAATGATGCATATATTGGGCGAAAATTGTAGTAGTCTTTTATTCCGAGTCTCATCATCAGCAACCTTTTACTTTGTCTGTTTCACAACTGAAAGCAGTACAGGTGGCCAAACTCTTTAATTCAGCTCCCTCGCGCTTCTCTCTCTCTCTCTCTCTCTCTCTCTCTCTTCCATGTGTGTGCCTTTGCTTGGCTTGCTTGGCCTGAATTTCTGCTCCAAGCATTGGATGTAAGTACTAATCTCTTGATGGGCGCTTTTTATTTGTTAATTCTTGTGTTTTTTGTTCTTCTGGGTAGTTTTGTTTTCTTCTGTTTTCTGGGACAAATCAAGTTTCTCTCTCTTTTGCTGTTTAAGGATTGGAAAATTGTTTTCTTTGCAGTTTTCACTGCTTAATTCGACATGGGTTTCTTCTTCTTTGTGCTGTTTTTGCTCCTTCCTTTTTTGGGATGCAGTTTTTGAACTAACTGTAATAAACTGTAAATCTTTTGGTTTAATCTTCAATTTTCACCTGGGTAGTATTAAAGTATTTTGTTCTTGATCAACTAACTTACTAGTCATAATTTGAAAAAAAAGAAAAAAAAAAGTGAACTTGTGGAAACAAACTAGTTATAATTCAGATTGAGGCTTCAGAAATTATTAATGTCAGTTGGGACATAAGAGTCGGTACTATTAGTGATAATAGATGATCATTATCTTATTGTTGTGGCTAAAACTTGGTCAACAATTGGTCTACGCCTTTTTATTTCTAAATGATCTTTGAAGATTTTTTCCATAATTCACCTGGGATGTGATTGCTTATTTTAGGGCATAAATCCATCCCCAAAGTTCTTTTAAATGTTTTACTGCATTCAACTTGGGATCACCAAAGGAACCAGTATCTTTTCCCCAACACTTCTTGTTTCCCCTTGTTCAATATGCTGTTGACATGGTCAATTGGGATTTTGTTTTCTTACTATTTTGGAGATGCTTTAGCAAATAAGCCTCATATATATAGAGGGTGCATTATATTTCAAAAAAAAAAAAAGAAAAAGAAAAAGAAAAAGTAAAAGAAGGAATAATTTTTAATTAATTTTTTTATCTTGCTATTTGCGAGTTCTGTTTCATCTTATCTGTTTTTCTTCTTCTTCTCTCTCTCTCTCTCTCTCTCTCTTTTTTCCTGATGAATGGTAGTAGAAATTGATGAGTTAGCTACCCTTGGAAGATATCACAAAGAAGACAGATACATTTGACAACAATTTTGAACTCTAAACATGAATAATGATACACTTTCTTCGCTCAAAGATCAAAGAGAAAGGCATAATTCTCTTATGGAGGTAATTTTCTGAAGCTACATTTTTGCTTGTTGCCATCCGACTTTTGTTGGTACTTGTTAATAATCAGTTTTCTTTTGTTTTTGTTCTTGACTCTTCAAACGGTTCACTTGTTCAAGGTTTCAAACAAAGAAAAACAGCTTTGGTTGCTAATCCACACCAAGGGTCTGTTGCAAACTGATGTTCAGGAATTGTATCGAAAAGTGCGTTCGAGTTATGAGAAAATGATACTGAATGACTATGAACAATTGGAACTTCAAGATGTTGAGTATTCTTTGTGGAAGCTTCACTACAAGCATATCGACGAATTTCGTAAAAGAATAAAGAAGAGTTCTACATTAGAAAGCTCAAAGTCAGGAGAGCCGCATGATACCAATCATATTGAAGGCTTCAAACTATTTTTGTCAGAAGCAGCTGAGTTCTACCAAAATTTGATTGTGAAAATCAGAAAATGTTATGGCCTTCCAGAAGAGTCCTCATTTTATAAAAAGAGTGGGATTAGTAATTCTTTCGAGCCAAAGAAGATAAAGAAATGCCAGTTCTTGTGCCATCGCTTTTTGGTTTGTCTTGGAGATCTTGCTAGATACAAAGAACAAAATGAAAAGCCTGATGTTCACAACCATAAATGGTCAATGGCGGCCTCACATTACATGGAAGCGACAGCGATTTGGCCAGACAGTGGAAACCCACAAAATCAGGTTCTTGAATTTTTTTCCCCTTATAACTTCTTACATTTTGGAATTTTCATATTGAGATACAAGACAAGACAATACAAATGTGGTTGTTACATGGTAGCCAAACTATATTTATCTGCAGTTAGCTGTATTGGCAACATATATTGGTGATGAGTTCCTTGCTCTTTATCACTGCATAAGAAGTCTGGCTGTTAAAGAACCTTTCCCGGACGCATGGGACAATCTTCTCTTACTGCTAGAAAGAGTAAAAATTTTGAGCTCTTAACTTCTTTATTGCTTTTGTTAGTCTAATTCATGCAAAGAAATCTTACCTTGATAGATCTTAATTGCTTCTTTTGATACTGCAGAATAGGTCTTCCCCTTTACAATCTCTTTCAAGTGAGGCCCAGTTTAATTTTATAAAACCATACGAGAGAAGCATTACGAAGACAAATTCAAAATCCATTGACCATTCCTCATGTCGAAATAATGGATCCGCGGCAACCGATTTTTGGTCTCTTTTCATCAGAATAATAAGTTTCTTTGTTGTTAAACCCAGGTAACTCATTCTGTTGGATTGAAATTTTAGCATATGAGAAGAATAAGAATAAATGATATTATACTCAATTTCTGTTTCTTATGTTGCATTTTCATGTTGTGAGACAGTTTGGATGAGTTCCCTTCTGCTTTCACGTCAGTTATGAGAGGGTTGGACGCTTTATTGGCATTGGATGATACAGAACTAAAAGCCTCACTGGAGTCATATCAGCATATGGATTCCATTAAGGCAGGTCCTTTCCGCGCCCTTCAAGTTGTTTCGATTTTCCTGTATACCCTGCAGAGTTTGATCAATTGCCCACAAATAAAACATTTTGAAGAAATGAGTGATACACAACTGATTCTTCTTAGGCAATTGGCTTTGACATCTTTGTTCATTTTTATGGGACGGTTTGTCGAGAGATGTTTAAAATTGAAGGCAGGCGCATTAAGTTCTTGCCCTCTTTTACCTGCTGTGCTTGTTTTTGTGGAGTGGTTGGCAACCATGCTTAACGAAGCAGAAAAGTATGGCGTTGATCGGAGAAGCAGTAGCGCTATGTCATACTTTTTCGAGTCATTTGTTGCTCTTCTGAACAGATTGGGAGCCAATAACAATGAAGGCAATACTTCTGTTAGTACTCCTCTGTGGGAAGACTATGAACTGAGGGGCTTTGCACCTGTCACTCGTGCACACGAGTCATTATATTTCTCATCTCATTGGGAGCACATAGATAATTTTGAAGAAGGAACTAAATCCCGCTGCCGCCGGATTCGCAATGCTGGATTGAAGATTGCAAACAGATCAAATGATTCCCAGAAATGGATCATCTATGATCAATCAGGAGGAAATTTCCGATCAGTTCCGATCAATTCAAATGCTGCTGAATTTAATGAAAACGTGGAGTCCATCAGTTCCGATCTTAAAACAGATGCGAGTGATCAGAATTTCTGCGAAGGCGTGGAAGAATTTGAGGGACCGATACTAGAAGAAAATCCCAGCGTTAATGGCAAGTCTGTTACAGTTGAAGAGGAAGAAGTTATTCTCTTTAAGCCATTGACCAGATACAACTCAGCACCACTATGTACCAATTCAAACGAGCCAACCTCTCCAAAAGAAATGGAGGAGCAAGCTGCACCTCCTGATGACTGCTTAAGGCGTGCTACATCACTTCTTATAGCACAAAACCAGGCCCAAGGCGGCACCACATTTATGCAAACTGACATCAGCAATTTCAGGCACAACAAGCCTTTTAAGCAACAGGAGCTTGTCTTCAAGGAGGCCACTATGCTGCCTCCATTTCCAGACACCCTGATCTCTTCAGGGCCTCCCTCGCTCAGTGCCTGGGTCCTTGAGAGGGGAGGTTTAATCAATAACAAAGAGAAAGCAGCAAGTGGTATTCATAAACACATCTTGAACCCTATTGAGGAAATGGCCTCTGAATCTCTATGCGGTCTTTCCATTACTCAAAATCAAGATTCTTCCCGTAGTCATGACTTTCTAGCCACACATTACTCTTCCTCTCCTTATTCAGCTCCAACGCCTTCTGCTCCACTGCTGCCAGATGATGCTGCTTGGTTCACAGGCCTTCAGTCTAGGTTGCAGCCGTCGGAGGGCATCAACGGAACAGAAACTTTGTCCAATGCATCTCAAGGGAACAGTAGCTATCCAAATTGGAATGCCACACAAGGGCCTACTGATCTTTACGGTCTCAGCAGCATCCCGGGTTTGGCAGTCAACTACACACCTCAACGGCGAATGACCTCATCAGAGTGGCTTCGTCAGTACAGAGAAAATCATGCCTGGCCCTGGCCATCTTACTTCTATGCTCCCGGGAACATTGGGAACTCCGACAACCCCTTGGCCTCGAACCCGACAGTGCATATGGAGAGCCCGCCATTGTATCCACCTTTTTCTCCAGATTACGCCGCTGCAGATGCACAAAGAAGGGAGAAACTCTTGTATGGTTACCTAAGGCCAAGCCCCTTTGTGTGTGGCGCAGTGACTGACATGAGAAGTGAGCCACAGCCACTTCTGCAGTACCTCAAGGAGAAAGAAAGGCAGCTTCAATTTGATCCTACTACCTTGATGAGGGGTCCTACTTATATGGGAAATTGAGGGATTAACATATGAGAAGAGATAAAAATACAATCATAGTTGTTTCGTTATAATGAAAAAAGTTTGTTACGTATGTTTGTGTATGTGTATAGTTGTGTAGATCTTCTGAGTCTCTGACACCTTGGAGTTTGAACAAAGTGTAGGAAAAATGGTTAATTTCAATAATAGCACTCATAAGTAAATGACTATTAATTTTAGCACTATTTTTATATACTTTCACAATTAATATCGTCATTTTAGTAAAAGTGGAACCAAATCATTTTTATTTAAGTTAAAATGACAATTGTGTCCCATTTCAGTTTTAAAGCCTTGAATATATATTATGAAGCCTTTTATAATTCAAATATTCAAAATAGAGAGAGGAGGAGGAGAACGAACGCGGGTGTGTACAGAGACTAAGAAACCCCAACGACCACAATTGTCTTCGCCGGAGAAATCAACCACAAAACATACGAGGTCAATGGCGGATTCTGAGACAAAGGTGAAAACTTTGTTGGTTTTTCTTGTTTATTTATTTTTATCTTAGGTATTTATTGTTTTTTTTTTATTTTACCATTTTTTGTTATCTTAGAAGAAAAGAAAGGCTTTGGAGGAGGAGATAAAAGCAGATAAGATCAGTTATTTGAAATTTGTTATTGTCATTGTGATCCTTATTTGATCTGTGACTCTGCCTCATGGCCGGTCATATGACCGGTTGGTAATTGTATTATGACCAGTCATAAGACAGGCACATCGTGCGGTCATAGTACTATGACCGATGGTTATAATTCTATGACCGGCCATCTGGCAGACATGCTCATAGTGTGACTGCATGACTGATGAGCCTGCGGTCATAGCATTATGACCGTCGATCATAGTACTGTGACCGTATTATGTGACTGTCTTATGACCGGCTATCAATCATAACACTATGAGCGAGCATGCATGATGGGCGGTCATAGAATTATGACCGTCGGTCATAGTACTATGATCGTTCAATGGTCATACTCTTAGGCCCCGTTCATTTCGCCGATTTGAGTTTAAAATTCGAGTTTCGCTACAGTAAAAAGCTCTCAGAAACAGTCACATCTAACTTTTTTACTACAGTAAAAAGCTCTCACACAAAATCACATCTCAACTCGAATTATAAACTCGAATTAGCGAAGTGAACGGGCCTTTAGTGTGCCATAATACTTTGGTTAACAACTTTGTTTGCTTCTCTTATTTATTTATTTTTTTTTTGTATTTATTGTTTTGTTTTTTTACTATTTTTTGTCATCTTAGATGAAAAGAAAGGCTTTGGAGGAAGAGATGTCGTTGATAGAATGTGACATCATAATCAGACAATATCTTCACAAGAGCTTCCCCATATTCAACAACATATCTTAAGGATAAACTTTTTCCTTGTGGCCGAATCCCAAGCACATTTCTCACCAAATTTATAAGACTAATATAAGTTGTGTTGGTGGGGACCAATATCCCCTTCATTTCACAACCAACGTATCTCGAAGCACGGTCATAATATCCATTATACTTAATGAAAACGTTCAATCCAGCAATCATTCTTAAATAATTTTAAAAATAATAACTGTTAATCAACATGTAATTACTCCTAGTCGTCATTAGAAATGGCCAGTCATAACACTGTGTAATGACCGGTCATAAGACAGTCATAGTGTGCCAGTCTAACACTATGGATCATTTCAGTCATAATATTATGACCGGACGGTCATATCACTATGACTGCCTTACAGTCATAATACTATGACTAGCCATTTTGACTCATATTGTTATAATTTGACTCATAGACAATGACTCATACTGTTATGACTGACTGGTCATAGTATTATGATCAGACATATAACACTATGAGTCATAATACTATGACTCTTAAGGTCAACTATGTCATTGACGTGTTGGTCGTTACAATCAGTTTACATATCAGTTATAAACCATCCAAAATCTCAAATTGACGAAGGATATTTTCAATTCCTATAACATTAAGTTCAACCCAGTCATTTTTTCTAGTTCTATATACTAAGTCTCTCAAAAAATAAATTTAAAAAGACAAAAATAAAAGAAAAACAAAAAAAAATTGTGTACCAACCTCGATATGTGCACAATCGGAGTATTGGCGACGAGGGAATGAGGGCGTAGGGAAGAGAGAGGCTGAGTAGAAAGAGAGGCCAAACTTGAGAGAGAGAGAGAGTTGAGAGTTTCTTTAAGGTGTTTTTAAATGATAATTTTGACATAAGTGATATAGAAGTCATTTTACCTCACACTACTGACATGACAATGCTAGTTGTGAAAGTATACAAAAATAGTGTTAAAATTAATAATAATTTATTTAAGAGTGCTATTATTGAAATTAACCGAAATATCCTGCCCTTGTTTCTATAAATACAGTTATATCTTTAGAAAGAATGACACAATAAAATTATGTGCTTGTGCATGTGTGCTTTTCTTTTTTCACCGTCATTTTCATGTTTTCTTTCTTTCAAGTTGTTGAGAATTTATTTATGGTATTTGATTGGAAGACTATACTAATTTATAGACTTGTTTAGTTCGCTGATTCGAGTTTTTAATTTGAGTTGAGATGTAATTTTATGTGAAAGTTTTTTATTGTAGCAAAAAAATTAAATGTGACTGTTTCTGAGAGCTTTTTACTGGAGTAAAACTCGAATTCTAAACTTGAATCAGTGAAATGAACGAGGACTATATATTCGTTTTTTTTTTTTTAAATCAGCAGCTTAATTTTGTCGTTTATATTGTTGCCGTACTTCTTGTGTTGTCGTTTCCTTACTTCTGTGTCGTTTACATTATTCTTTCGTCTCTTAATGGTGTTTGTCGTTTTGAATGTTTAACCTTTTCACATTTTTTGTTGTTGTCATACACGCCTTTTTGTTCCTACGGTTGTTGTCGTTTCTACAGTTTTGTGCGCTTTCTCTTGGTGGGTTTCTTGTCGTTTATAACTCGTTGCCATTTATAGTCATGGTCCTCAGTTGTTGTCGTTTCTAGTAAACAATAACGGTGATCCAAACACAACTAACCTATCTCTTCCAGAGTCGCAGGAGCTCTAGCTCCAGATCGAAGCAAGCACAATGGCGGATGCGCAGTCAGTTAGAGAAGAAGTTTCGTCCGCAAAAGCTGTCTTGCTAGGAGCTTTAGCCCCCGGTGTCAACGTCCGTACAATTTCTCAAGCATTTTTCTCCTCTATTTATTCTCTCTGCAAACCAAATCATTGCTTTCTGATGGATATATTGACCATTTTTGTTGATTTGGGGTTTTTCTGAATTCAGGGTCCCACATGGAATACTCTAAAATCAGCGTTTCTGTTGTTGGGTCTGTCTCTTTCTCTGATGCTCGCACTGGCAATCTCTTCCAGCGATTCCTCCCTGGTTCTTCATGTCGGCTTTCTGGTTCTTATCACTGCGACTTTGTTCCTTCTTCTCAGTTGGTAAGTTATCAATTACTCTTCTTTTTTTTTTTATTAATTTGAATTGTGGGTTGTACTTGTTTTGTTTGTCATTAATCAAATTTGGGTATGGATCTAAGTTTGCGATTTCGTTGGCTATGCAATTTTTGATGATGGTATTTTAGTTAAGAACCTAAATTATTTTCATTTTTTTTTCCATTTTAATTGTGAGAATAATTAGAATTTGGATACGGGTTGAAGTTTATTTTTGGCGGCTATTAGTAAAATTTTCCTTCTTTCTGGGCAGGTTTCTTGCACAGACTGGTTTGGTAACAATTGAAAACCAAATGCGCGACTTGGACTTAGTGCCAAATGCTGGCTCAGAGACGAATAAGAAGAGAACATAGATTTAGATTGTTCTTATAGCATGGCAAGCAAATACATTATCAAGTTTGGAAGAGAAAAGACCCTTTAAGAGGTCCCTTTATTACATGACAAAAGAAGGAAAAGAAAACAACATTTTTTTTTCCTGCAATTCTTGAGATATACATTGGAGTGACCAAATTTGCAGGTTTCAGTCACTCTTGGCAACCTTGTCGTTGTCGTTGTCGTTGTCCTATTCTTGTCCTTGTTCTTGCCCTTGTCCACTCTTGGCATCCTTGTCCTTGTTCTTGTCCTTGTCGTTGTCCTCGTGTTTGCTCTTCTTGGACTTGATGAAGCAGAAGCATGAGCAGCATGGGAACTGAAACAAGAACTTCATGTCTCTAGTGTTTTGATGATTTCAAATGTTGGATCTTGTCTATATAGAGCAAGCTCAAGAACACACTTTTTTTTTGGGGTTCCTTCCTCTCTCTTGGATGCTATGCTTAATTTTACAGATAAGAAGATGCCTAGCTTATCTTTTCCATTTCTGTTATTATTGCCAATAGTTGTTTTATGCTTGTTCTATGAAGTGGTAGTGGGTCATATTGCCACTTGCATATTCTTTTCAAAATAAATGTAAATAAAAGGCGACTGCTTTTTCAATTCCTTTCCAAAGGTTAAGATTTCTGGGCTTTCAAGCAATTAAAAGTGTGTAGCAAAGGAATCGTTAAATGTAAAAAGTAAAAAAAATTGGATTACTCAATTTGGCGGGTGACTTGAGAAAGAATCTGCATTATACGTGGGAGGCGTTTAGATCATGAATTAGAATAATGAGATTAGAATTATTTTTAATTTACGTGTATTTTTGGTGAGAGAAAATACTGTAACGAGTCACGAACTATGATTCGAATCAGGGCCGAATCTCCCTTCTAAACGTTTCCTTAGTGTTTTAGAGTTATGTGACTAGATATTCTCCAAACTAGAAAGGAAGAATGCCTATAGACTTTATTATGATATCATAAATGGTTAAAATTGTTACCTTCTCATGCTAGGTGGACCAAGGTTACTACATTCTTATACCATGTAAAGCTAATATGCTCAATGTCGTAAAATGCCGACATCCTAATGATTTCTAAACATTTCGACTAATAAAATTTTTGGGTTGTCTCATTGATCTTTTAAGGGGGGAGAATGGCCGCGTTCACATTGTATTTATTCAGTTTCTTTTATTTTCAGTTCGAGTTCCACTAGAGTGATTTATGAACTTTTGGACTCTCCTGTACCAGCTTAGACTTTAGTCCGGAGCTTATTATTAGATGGGTAATCTTAACAAATATCTTTAAAAGTGCATCAGTCAAATAATGCACTCTCAAAATAAATTCTCTTTTTATTTTTTATTTTTAAGATCAGTTACTAATCCGTTGTAATTTAGGCTCAATTAATCGAGAAACCCAGAAAATCCGGAATCCGTTATAGTTAGTCTAATGTAAAGCTTGTACATGATCTGAGTCTCTTATTATTGTGTGCCCATTTTCATCAAACACTTCTCTCTCTACTCTCTCTCTCTCTAGAGCTAGTTTCTGTTTTTCATCTTAGACTAATAAGACTTTATGGGCTATCTCGTTAATCTTTGAGTGAAAAAAGAAAAAAAGAAAAAAAAATTCCTCATATGTTCAGTATGTGTTTAATGCAGTTTTTGTTATATATACATAATATTGTACTGGTCAAATATGCTCTTGCTCTGAGTGAAGTATCAAGACCATTCATTTCGCTGATTTGAGTTTAGAATTTGAGTTTTTTTACAGTAAAAAACTCTCACAAACAATCACATCTAATTTTTTTACTACAGTAAAAAACTCTCATATAAAGTCACATCTCAACTTAAATTAAAAACTCAAATCAGCAAACTAAACAGACCCTAAGTACTTCCTTGACAAGGTCTAACAACTGCTATTCAAATCTTAAGAGCATTCGTTAAAAATAAAAAAAAATAAAAAAAATTCTTAATTACAGAGCGGAGAAAGAATGGGTTGAGTTGGCAATACCTGACGTTTAATAGGGTCCCACTTCCAACTCCTTTTTCAGTAAGAAAAGGCTTATAAAATTCTCAAATTGACCGGGCACCGTTCTCTCTCCTTTTATTTTATTTATTTATTTTTTTTAATTTTCATAAGTTTGAGTCACCATTAATATTTTCACTATAATATTTTCTCTCTTAAAAATTTAAATTTTAACTCAATTTTTTTATTCAAACTTATAAAAAGAACACGCTATATGAGTTCAAGTTCGAATGACATAAAATAGACTACGGCATCGTTCACTTCACGGATTCGAGTTTTCAATTCGAGCTGAGATGTGACATTTTCTGAGAGTTTTTTACTGTAGTAGAAAAAGTTAAATGTGACATTTTCTGAGAGTTTTTTACTGTAAAAACTTAAAACTGAAAACTCGAATCGGTGAAATGAACAAGGCTTAAAATTCAAAGTTTCATGCATAGTTTTCTGGCAATTAAAAAATTGGAAGCAATGATATGTGCTCTGTGTTTGCGATGTTTTTGATATTCCCTTTATTTCATTCAAGGTTGGTCTTTAGGGTACTGATATGAACGTAGTAATAGCTGGTATGTGACATATCACCACTGATGTTATGTGACATTTGATATAAGACATCTTTATTCAGTCACTATTATGAAACATTATATTAGAAAATTATATTAGAATCAAATAATATGAAAGTTAATATCAGAAAATTTTTCCATATATTTATTATAAATTATTTCTGTATAGAAAGCAATTAAAGGCACCATTAATGCAAAACATGACCACTAATAAAAAAGTGAACTTTACCTGTAGACTCCATGCATGTTACTCAAGACTCATTTTCTATTAACGAGAAGTGTTGTACCTTGTAGTACAATAAAGCACGAATGCAATAATTTTTTTAAGTATTCCTCCAATTTTGAAAAAAAAAAAAAAAAAAAAAAAAAAAACTTTATCTAATGATATGGCATAATAATAGTGACATGGCATGATAATAATGAAAAAAAAAGAAAAAAAATCAGTGACAAGTGTCAAGTGATACCAGTACATGGGATGGGAGTAGCGTCACCGCCTTCCCGTGGAAAGGTCCGAATATTGGAGCAGCAGCAGCAACTAACCCGGCCACCTTTAATCATCGCATTTCTATATACACGTATACCTCTCTCTCTCTCTCTCTCTCTCTCTACTTTCTCTCTATCTTTGATCTTTCTCTCTCTCTCAACCATTTTTGTTTGTTAATATTTGTTAGATCTGATTTTACGTCTAGTGTTTCAGATGATGTTAGAACACTATCTGAATCCGTATTAATTATGTATAGTTATTCGAGCAGAATAAAGTACATAAAGTAAATAAACACACAATATGATATCACAGTTCAGTGCGCACACCTACATCAACAGGACTATGCTCAGACAGTAAATAGTTCACTATATTCCAGAAATTACATACACTAGACATACTTATTTACTCAAAGACTCCCTGCTAGACAATGATGTTACTGTGACGAATCTCCACAATGATTATTTAGCGTGCACCACAAGATAGACAAAACTTCCTCCTGAAAGCAACAAATCTCTCTTCTGAAGGACGATATCTAAAAACTCACAAATGTCTCTCTGAATATATTCTCTATAATAAGCTCTCAAATCTACAGACTTTTCTTCTGAAGATGTTCTATTAAATATGTGTCAACATATGCTCTGAAACAAAGCCTTTAAATAAAGTCAAGAGAATCTCATTTAAATCCACTATTGATAAGATCTCTATTATCTCTATGATCCTCTCTCTTAAATAGCTTCATGTTATAGCTCTCAATCTTTAATTCGAATTATGCAGCAAACTTTCAAATCCAAATTAGTTATCCTCTTGATCTTGCAATGCCTTATCTTTCATTATAATAAGTCATATTTATGGGTTATTTAGTTGGAGGATTCGTAGCTTGATTCGAATCATGGTTCGTAGTTCGTTACAGTGTTTTTTCTCATAAAAAACACACGTAAATTAAAAATGATTATAATCTCATGATTTTAATCCATAAACCAAATGTCTCCTTAAATTTCATTTGACCAAGTCAAATTTTAAGTTTCAATCACATGTGTAGCCTCAAGCTTAATCTTCTTTGTGTAGCTCACATGAATGAATATATATATATATATATATATAAATAAACCATTCAAATTTCAAAGTTCTAATTTGAACAACTCCTAACAATAATTGGATGAAGCGAAGAATTCAAATTCAAAAACAACTTAATCTCTATGCAAGCTTTATCTCCCATTTAAATTTAAATTCATATCTCCTTATTTTTCACATTATAGCATTCTCAAATCCAGATAATTTTTGATTTAAATTCTCCATATAATCTTTTTGATATTTATCTCCTTCTAGAATTCCATTTAAATTCAAATAACCAGTATCTTTTTATTTTTTTACTAAGGCCTTATCTTTATCTCTTTAAATCTCAGCTAATGTTTTATCTGTAATTTTAACTTCAAATCTGATTCTGAATATTTTTTTACAATACGAAATCTTTTTAAACCTATTTTTTAAATTTTTATAAGATTACTAATAAATTAGCAACTAATAAAAATACCTAACAGAGTTATCTCTTTCGGTTTTCTTTTGCATGGCAATGTCACCCGCTTCGTAGAGCTTAGTCGTTTGCTAAGGTGTCTTCTCCTCTCCTTGGTTCTTGATTATTATCTTTATGATATATCTTTATCTGGGCACTCGTAATTCTCCACCATAATTAATGTTCATCGACATGTTCAACGAGTACTTAAGCTTCAATTTCTTTTTTTCTTTCTTTTGGGTGAAAGGTCAGTGCTTGAGAAAAGGAGATCAATCATGGGTGAAGATGAAGGGTATTGGAATGCTGAACTAATGTGAGTGTACTGATATTATTATACATACGTATATATACAATTCAACGCTTAAATACGTTCTTGGCCGTCTTCTTTATTCTTTTTTATTCTTATTAATTATTTTTCTTGTACATTTTATTCGATATATATATATATATATATGTGGATATTGCAGCCTTGAATTGTATGTGTATGATTACATGGTGAGAAACGGTATGAAAGAAGCAGCTCAAAGTTTCAAGGCAGAGGTTCAACTCCCTGATCATGAAATTGGTACTCAATGCTACCTTTGTTTGCCATCCTCTTGTTTTACACCAATGTATTTATATATATATATATATATATATGTATAGGTTTTATACGTATACACACACGCACCCACATAAAGATAGCCTTGACCCTTTTTTTTAAAAAAAAAAAAAAATATAGTCTTGACTTGATATTGAAGGCTGTTATCGTAATTCAATGTGGCAAGATTATGGAATAAATTTTCTTTTCTTTTTTCATTTTTTCGTTTTAATGCTTTGATTTGGGTTCTCCTTTGATGCTTCTCTGGTCAAACATAATTCCAATTCAATTTGCTACATGTTCATCTATACAATGTCCTAATATTTTTCTAGTATATATGTATATAATTCTCTTTTTTTTTTTTAATTATTTTTCTCTGCAGCGATTAATTCTCATGAAGGGTTCTTATACGAATGGTGGTCCGCATTTTGGCCCGTGTGTGCTAGCGAACATGTGCAGACTCAGGAGAACAGAGAAATAGCCTCTCTTGAGGTTATACAAAATTTGAAGCATGTTTTTCGATCTTCTTTTTTATGTTGTAAGATGATTAGGAAACCAAGAAAAGAGGTTTGTCTTTGAAATTTACAGGCAAAGCAAATGGCAGAGGCTAAGCAGCAGCTAAGGGACGGTTCAGTAGTGCCATATACAAGAATTGAACAAATTTCAACTCAACAATTGTCAAGGCCTAACAATGTCTTTAACAGCAGGCAGTTTTCGCGGCCGCCGGTTTATGATTCTAGTGTTTGTAACACAAATCAGCAGAATCTTAGGCTTCCTCCACGTATGGCAAGCCAACCAAACCTCTCATTGTCAGTTCCAACCATTCCAAGGTACTGGTTTCAGTTTATGATTCTAGTTTGCTGTGGATTATTGATTGACTTTCTCAAATGAAAGAAAAATGTCTTGGTTTTACATTTGTTTTTATGTGTGGAACATTTTTCATCACTTTCTTTAATAGTCTTCATCTTCGTAATCAGGAATTTGCAGCAACCCTCTACGTCACATCCGCGTTTTGCCAACCAATCATACCTCTCACATTCACCTCCAACCATTAATCCAAGGTACTTGTTTGTATGTTAACCAATCATACCTCTCTCATGCATTTCCTTTAAATGAAGTACTAGTTTGTTGTGGATTATTGCTTAAGCTTCTGAAAAGAGAGAAAAATGTCTTGTTTTTTTTTTTCACTTTGTTTTTATGTGTGGAACATTTTTCATCACTTTCTTAAAGAGTACTCTCCATCTGTGTAATCAGCAACGTTCTGCCACCGATGTTAGAGCTGGCTCAAGTTCAACAAAATGACATTGGCTTCGGAAGGGCTTCTTCAGCTATGGGCACTGTGCTTGTTCACTTAACTGATGATGCAGGTCAATTTTTTTTTATTTTTTTTATTTTTTACATAAGAAAGACAGAGAAAGCATAGAGCTTCTTCCAAAAGTTGAGAAAAATCGAAGCTCTTATGCTATTCAAAGAGCTACTCAATTTTCAATGTCGGACTTTTGTCAAATTAACTGGTTTGCGTAAACATTTCTTTCAACGTCCAAAACAGGAAACAGTTTCTTGTTATCCACGTATATAACAAAAGCTCGATCAAATAACAGAAGTTTTTCAATTAAACTTTACTCGTCATGATCTGGTTACGAAGATAGGAGTGAACAATATGTTCCATTTGTCTTATTCTTGGAAAAGAAGCACATAAATCAGAGGACATACCATTTTACTTTATTACATAATTAAGCGCATAATCCGATCTGGTATCTTTGCAGGAACGAATCAAGAATTCGATCAAGTGCCACTGAATGGATGTCCTGTAAGTGTAAGCAATGTGTTAAGAAAGTTCCCCAAGCATCATTCTAGGATGAATTTGATGGAATATGGAAATATTTTCCTTGGTTACATTACTGACTTTACTGGCTAAAAATTACTTTTGTAGGTGCCAAATAGTGAGCAGCGGGTTCAGGTACTGGCAGCAGAACCTCAGCAGCCTCTTTCCCCTCAATTGCAGCCACGGACAACTGGAGAACGGACATCTGGATGTGGAAAACCTTTTATTTTTTATAGTTCAAATCTGATGCTCACAACAAGCGAAACTAGAGAGAAGGATCAACTGGACAGCCCTGAAATAATGTCTTCCAATTTCCAGGTTGACGCCTTTCTTAAGATGAACTCAGTGTGTCTTTCCTTCTCTAATCATTTTAGTATCAAAAAGTGAAGAAAAAAAAACACACAAATAACAAATACACGTGCCATTTACCTAGTGTCAAATTCATTTTATAAGGTTTATGTAGACATTGAATCTTTCACAACTTATTCCAATTATTTACCTTACTAGCAACCTTTTATGATCATGATTTTACAGCATCATACGAAAGATAAGGAGGATGAATTTGTGGTAGAGAAAGTCGATTCCATCATCTCTCTTGACAGCGCGGATGCTGAGATTCCAAACAGCTCTTCCAGTGAACTAAAACGTGACTTTGCAGATTCTGCAGAAATCAAGCTCGAAGGTAACTCGTTTTGGCTTAATAGTACAAGCACATCCAATAGTTGTAGGTTTTTTCTATACCCGGAACATCATAAACTCAGTGACTTATTATTGTGCATCAGTAAGCAGATTCTGCAGAAATCAAGCTCGAAGGTAACTCGTTTTGGCTTAATAGGACAAGCACATCCAATAGTTGTAGGTTTTTTCTATACCCGGAACATCATAAACTCAGTGACTTATTATTGTGGGTAAGAAGTGGTAAGAAGTGATGTTATAGATTCACAATATTCCAGAACAAAAGTATCTTTTGACCATTGCTTCTTTAAAAAAAAAAAAAAAAAAATTTATTTTTGCTTTTTCAATGAGGGAGAGGGAGATGTAAATTTTCATTACATTGTTATAAAGTAGGAGAAAAACACACAATTTGTTCAAGTAGAACTTTTCTGTTTTTATCTGGTAGATTTCACGTTTATGGAGATTGAGTGCCACAAGTTAAGCACAAAAGAGCTTTTCTGCTGCGATTTTTCATCGGATGGGAAGTTGTTAGCCAGTGCAGGCGTTGAAAATAAGGTAGCCTAACCATCCTTAAAATTTAGCTTCTCCTTTACTTAAATCAGTTCCTGGATCATTTGTACAATCCATAGCTGATAGCATGTAACATTGGCAGGTTTTTATTTGGAATGTTGACACTAAAGAGCGTTCTGAGAATTTGGAAAAGCATCGTGGTCCCATTACAGATATTCGGTTTCACCCTAACCATCGGAGTTCAAATACTTTTGCGACATCTTCCGTAGATCGTACTCTCAAAATATGGGATGCAACCAAAGTAAGTTCTTTCATGTTTAGAAACTCTTTTTCTGTTGGTTTTTAATTGTTTAGAATTGTTGAAATAGGCCGACCAACATGTATGTAGACATTCACACTTGTACAGAAGATTCTCATATCTTTAAGGACATCATTACAAAATGTCTGAACTACTGATTTCCTGTTTATAACTTGATAATACAACAGGGAACCTGCTTATAAATTAATAATACAACAGGGAAAATTAAGATGATTGTCAACCATATGTCTTAAAACATTTTTTTCTCAATGAAATATATATATATATATATGTAGTACTGCTTTATGCTTGATGTTGGTAAATTTTCATTCTTCTCCATATTCTTTTCTTCTTTGCTGCTCAATTTAGTGATGAAGTATCCTACATCATAAATTATTCTTTGCTCCTTATTGTAGCTAGAGAAATCTCAATACAGTCTAGAAGGGCGTGGTGGGGAAGTGATGTCATTAGATTTTCACCCCATAAAACATAATGTCCTTTGCTCCTGCGATTGCACAGGCAAAATCAAATACTGGGATTTGGTTGGTTCTCATACTTGCACAGACACCTTCAAGGTCAGATCTTGTGTTACATGTAGATAAGTGATGAAGCTTTCCTCTTTGCACACTTTCTGGTTTTAGCTTTATATCACTCTGAACGTGATATAAATTTAAAGTTTTTTAGAAGCTATAGTCCATAAAAACTAAAGCCTTTTCTGAATCTCCCTGGGGAGTAACTGTAGGGAGCTACGAACCGAGTTCGATTCCAGCCCCAGTTTGGACAGTATCTGGCTACTGCTTCAGAAAATGTAGTCAATGTATTTGATTATAACACTAAAACATGTCAGTTTTCCTTCAAGGTAAAGAATTATTTGACACTTATATCAATGCATATACATACATGTCTACATTGAAGTTTCTTTAACTTGGTGGAGTGACATCAACTTCTCTCAGGGACACAAGAAAGAAGTCCGCTCGATTTGTTGGCATGAAAGTGGCGAGTATATTCTTTCAGTTAGTGAAGACAGTGCACGACTCTGGTCTGTTAAGTCAGGCAAGAAATGCGTCCATGAATTACAAGCAAACGGCAACAATTTCTATTCCTGTACCTTTCATCCTGAACACACAGATACATGGATTATTGGCGGCTACAAGGTAAACAATTCGCTTAAAGAGTCTTCAGATCATAGGTTAATAGTAAGCAGTGGTCCTTGATGTGTGACTATGATTAACTAGTGTTTATATGTTTGTTTTTGTTTTAGCAGTTCTTGGGGCTGTGGAATCCAGAGGCCGAAGGATCGATGTTAATTCCAGGTCATGATGGGTGGGTCACTGCACTGGCAAAAACACACAAGAATTCATTGGTTGCCTCTGTCAGTTATGACGGCTCTGTGAAGTTATGGAAAGAAACAGACTACTTATATTGGTGATGAACCTTTTTTTTTTTTTTTTTTGTCAATGAAAACAAGATACAGTGTTGGATAGATTGCGGCAAATTTTCGGGAGCTGCTTCAGTTTCTTTGAGATATGCAGTTGGGATTAACTTTTAGGAGCACATTTTTTTCTGAAAGTATAGTTGTACATGTAATCTAGTCTTTGACAAATGTACACATGACTTCAAAATACACCAATTGAATACAAATGTATAGAACAGACGATCCCTTTTCTTTTGTGGTTTTTCTGTATTAGTTTTCTCATTCCTAAGAAACTTGATTAAATGAAAAAAAAAATAAAAAATTAAAGAAAAAAATTAAAACTTGATTAATACAGAATCATCATTGTGGGCAGACCTCATCGTGCATAAGACTTTAGCCTGAATGTTAATATTCCAGCTTTCAACGCTTTGATGAAATAAATCAAGGAAAAAAATACACAAGTGTAAACAAGATTCTTGTATTCAAATCCCAAAGAAGGCCTCAACAGGCTAATACGTTTTCTGATGGGAAACAAAAGGAAAAAGAAAAAAGAAAAACGAATGTTGTTATGGGGAAGAAAACAATGAATTAATTCTTATAAATATTCATCCTAAAGGTGAGCCTAGATTCTTATATGAACGTATTGTTAGAATATTTGTATGGACTAGCACAATCATAATTAATTCACTCAAATACGTCACAAAATTAGAGCATAGTTTTATGAATTATTATATTAAAATATGGTTTATGCATTTATGCATAATATGAGATGAACAATTTATTTTTTAATGTGGTTGAAACCTTTAAATTCTCTCTCTTTAAATATTTAATCAGCTCATTAGTCAAATTTCCTCCCCGTCAAAATTATAGTTAAAGCCCAACAAGACCCGTATATTTATTGTTGCAGACAAACATAAGAGGGATTTTTGTTCTCCTTTTTTTGTGTGTGTGGTCCGAACGTAGCTAGTTAGAAGAGGGGAGCAAGAGGAGAGTTCAAAAACACTTCAAGCTCCTTTTGGTTTTCTCGGGTTGCTGATCGGATTCCAGCCGGCTGTTAGCAATTTCCAGCGATCCTAGAACCATTACTTTTGTACCTGCTTTAAACTCCAATGAGACACTGTGATTTCAGATTAAATGACTTGATTGTTGTTTTGATCTCATTTATATATATTGAGAACCTATAATTTCTAGTAAATGGTATCAGAGCATGTCTTATTGAATTTAAAGCTGTATTTTTCGTGTTTGTTGTTCGCAATGGGTGCAAAACTCAGATTTCCAAATCTGCATTTAGCTCAAAAGAAACATGTTTTTGAGTTTATATTCTCCAAAAATATTTTATTGGTGTTGTTTCCTTTGAGTTTCATACGCTGGTTTGATGTATTTAAGGACTTCCATAAAGCTATAATGTTCGTTCATGGGTCTTCATAAAGCTTTGTTTTTTATGAATCTTTGAGCAAAATTGATGTTTGAAAACTAAAGAGAATGAAATTTGGAGCAAACCCTAACAAAAAAACGTGGAAAATGGACAACCGGAGCTCGATTTTCCGGCAGATCGGGTCACGGACTCGATTCGGGTTCGTTTTGCAGTTCCGGATATCAGGAAGCTAAAAACGACGTGTCGTTTTGTATCCTCACGGAAAACGACATGTCGTTTGCAAGTTGAAGTGTAGCTCTCGCTACATGTCGTTTTTCCTATAAGCTCCAAAACGACATGTCGTTTCTGGGATTGTTCCTGCGATTGCAAAGGCGAAATTGAATACTGGGATTGGTATAAATCTCGTACTTGCACAGACACCTTCGAGGTCAGATCTTGTGTTACATGTAGATAAATGATGAAGCTTTATTATCAGTGCCATATTGTTATCACTGTCTTGCATTTCCATGAAGCTGTCTGGTTTTAGCTTTATATCACTTTAAACATGATACGAATCCAATTTCTAGAAGCTCAAATCCACAAAACTAAAGCCTTTCCCGAAACACCCTGGGGAGTAACTGTAGGGAGCCACGAAACAAGTCCAATTCCAGCTAAAGGTTGGACAACTTCTGGCCACTGCTTAAAAAAAAATGTTGTCAGTGTATTTGATGTTGACAGTTATCCTTCGAGGTAAAGATTTATTTGACATATTATAGGAATCTATATACATATATGTCTACATTGAATTTTCTTTAATTTGGTGGAAGTGATATCATTTTCTCTCAGGGACACGAGAAAAATGTCGTCTCGATTTGTTGGCATCAAAGTGGCGAGTACATTCTTTCGGTTAGTGAAGACAATGCGCTGACTCTGGTCGATTATGTCGGGCAAGAAATGCGTCCATGAATTACGAGCAAACAACGGCAAGACGTTCCATTCCTGCACATTTCATCCTGAACAAGAAGATACCTGGATTATTGCCAGTTTCAGGGTAAACAATTTGCTTAAGTCTGCAGAATTTAGGATGTGGAGTACCAAGAAATAGCACATTTGAGCCCTTACTTATTCCAGCAAAAAAGGCTTCCCAAATACATCGGCTACTTAAGAACTTATCTTCAGATAGGTTAGCGGTAAACGTAAAATTAGTTGTGAGTGATGGCACGTGAAAAATAGCTAATTAAGAATGCTTGAGCTATATGCTTATTTATTTCTATGGTCCGTAAAATATGATTTGGTGAGATTTGATGTTTATATGTTTGTTTTAGCAGAATATATGGCTGTGGAATCCTGAGTGAAAAGGATCGATGCAAATTCCAGGTCACACTGAGTTAGTTGCTGCACTGGCACACACACACAGTACTTCAATGGTTGCCTCAGTCAGCCTTGACGGCTCTGTGAAGCTATGGAAATGAAACAGACCACTGATATTAGTGATGAACTTTTTTTTTTCTTCTATAAATGAAAACAATATACAGTGTTAGATTGCGGCAAATTTTGGGAAGCTGCTTCAGTATCTTTGATATGCAGTTTGTATAAACCATTAGGAGTACATTTTTGCTGGAAGTTGTACATGTAATCCAGTCTTCGACAAATTTACAGATAACTTCACGACATACCAATTGAATACAAATGTATAAGAACAGATAATCCCCTTTTGTTTTGTGGTTTTTGTATTTTATTTTTCTCATTCCTTAGAAACTTGAACAAACGAGAGAGGGGAAAAGAAGTTGAAAAAAGATCCCAGCTTTCAACGCTTTGAAATAAAGGAAAATAACAAAAGGTAAACAAGATTCTTGTATTCAAATCCCAAAGAGGCATGATCAGGGTGATACAATTCTGTTGCGAAACAAAAGGAAAAAGAAAAAAGAAAAAAGAATGTGGGTTGGGGGAAGAAAACAATGAATTCTCACAAACATACATCCTAACTTAGGTGAGCCTAGGTTCTACTTCCTTACCAAGTAAAGAAGCCACGCATTACAAGAACTCCTCATCACCATAAATAAAAATCTGCACATTGAAACAGCTTGTTCCGTCACTTCCAGAGCTCTTCCATTGGGATTCCACGCTCGCGAGCAACCTCACGGAACTGCCTCATTTGCAGCACTGCGACGACAGTGGCCCTGGCATTGTTTAGAGCATTGTTACTTCCAAGTTGCTTACCCAATGCATTCTCAACACCTGCCATTTCTAGTACAATTCTCACGGCCCCACCAGCAATCACTCCAGTACCGGGGGAGGCCGGTCTAAGCATCACCTTTGCTGCTCCATAATCTCCCTCGGATCTGCAATTAGTTGGGTAATCCTTAATGTAGTTGCTAAATGCAATATGAGATGAGGTGACAAGATGTGATTCACTAACACCATGATATTAAAACTATGAAAGTCAAGAAGAATAACTCATTGTCAGCTCAAATATGATGACTAAATGCACCAACTCTAAGTATCTTCAAACGAAGATAAACCATAACTCCAGTAATCTAAGAAGCTATCATATCTCAAAAACTTGGCAATATCATTTCAAATGGCCCAAAACAGAATTATGGTTATTCTCATTCAACTAACCTCTGTACTATTTACAGATTACATTATAATATAAACATAACCAAAAACACTAAAGACCCCTTATTCAACAAAATCCAAGTTTCGAGCATCAATCAAATTCAACAGTTCAATTACGAGCTCTACAGTTCAACTAAAGATCCAAGCTTCAAACATCAATCAAATTCAACAAAATCGAAAGTCTACATTTACTTATAATTCAACACGCAGAGAATAATATTAAGGAAGAAAAATTAGGCATACCTATGGGGAAAAGTCAAGTACTTGGTCATGGGGACGGTGATGATATTCCGGCGGGCGTTGACGGCGGACTTCTGGACAGCGGCGATTACTTCTTTAGCCTTTCCGACGCCGACGCCGACCTGTCCTTTCTTGTCTCCGACAACAACAATGGCTCGGAAATGCAATTGCTTCCCTCCCTTGACGACCTTGGTGACTCTCCTGACCTGAACCACCCTCTCCTCGAAGCCATCCCTGATCTTCTCCTTCTTGGCGCCGGAGCCAAACCCTCCCGTCTTCTTCACCTTGGAGTTCATGACGTAGATGTCGTTTCCGAGGACACTGACGCCGCTGTAGGCGGGGCCGTAGAGCTCCTCGTAGGCAGCGGCGATCTCATCCTCCGTCTCCATGGGGCCTTCGTCGAAGGAGGGAGGGGCGACGAAGCCCTCGGGGGCCTCGGGGGGCTCGTAGACTGCGTCGTCTTCGTCGAATTCGTCGGTGGTGAAGAAGGAGGTGTCGGAGTCGGAGGACTTGGGTGGAATGGGGCGGGAGAAGGAGAGAGAAGAGGAGGAGGAGAAGGAGAAGGAGAAGGGGCGGGTGGAGATGGAAGTGGTGGTGGTGGTGGTGGTGGAGGGGAGGAGAGAGAGGCGAGGAGAGGAGTGGAGAGAGAGAGAGCAGAGAGATGAAAGGGCTGTTGTGGTGGAGGCCATTGCCATGGTGGGTTTGGGATTGAGATTGAGAAGGAGAGGAGAGGTGTTTGAGAGTGGCCAGTTGGGCTGATCACTGATCTTATCCTCCTCTCAGAGAGTTTTGCAGTGATGCATCAAGATAGCAAAACGACAAGTCGTCTTGAAACGGGCATGAGTCGTTTGAAAATGGACCTACATCATCCCAAATTGTGTTGTCAAGATAATGATACGAACGTTGAAAAGCATTTGTCTTCGGAAATTGGCGAACCGCTCCTAAAATTAACTAACGTCTATTTTTTATTTTTATTTTTATAATTATAGAATATGTTAGCAAAGTTAATTAAATTAATGTTTTCATGGGATGACACGATTTGATTACGGTAATTTTTGTTTGGTTAAATACACATCAGAAGAAACTTTGATGTTTGGCTAGAAAGAAAATCAAGAAGGGAAAAAGAGAAAATATGGAACTAGCAATTTGTGAATCTCTCAGTAACTAACCATCTGAGGGAGAATTCTTGTATTTATATTGAATAATTATCATATCAGTCTTCCAATTGTAATCCCGTGAAAACCGGGATCTCTAACTAATTACATCAGAATAATTTATTAGGCTCTGTTCATTTCACCGATTTGATATTAGAATTTGAGTTTTACTACAATAAAAAATTCTCAGAAATAGTCACATCTAATTTTTACACTACAGTAGAAAAATTTTCACATAAAATCACATCTCAACTCGAATTAAAAATTTAAATTAACCGAACTAAACGGATGATTAAAGATAACAAACTTAAACAAGACAGAACTGGCTATTCTTGAGCTGAGCTGGACTCTGAGTTGGCTCTCTGGTTTGACTTACATCTTCAACAACATTGGAAATGTGATCACAAGCTAGTTTATCTACAATTCTAGGTTTGATCAAGGCAAGCAACTAGTACTGCTTTATAGGACGACTGGACTAATCTTCTAGCATGGTCATTATTCACCGTTTTTTTTTTTTCCTTCTTTTTTTGAAATGATTATCCTTTCTTAATTACAAATATGAATTCAGTTTCTTCTATCTTCTTTACCGTTATTTTAGTTTTTTTTTCTTCTGGATGAACGCCCTAACACCAAAAAGATTGCCTTTAACCAATCAGTACATATTTGCGTATCAACCAAAAAGATTACAAATTATTGAAAGATTAGCAAAGGATGAACTATCCATGACACTAAGGCATTTTTCTTTTGACGCTAGTAATATCATATAAACAAATTACCAGTTATGTCAGGCATATATATAATTTATAAAATAACTATACCGATCCATTTTATTCCTCCATACCAAGAATTTGTTTTTTTTTTAATTCTTTTTACCTCTTCTTCCACTCTCTTCTGTCAAACATATTGTGCGGAAAAAAAAAGAAGAAGAAGAAGACTTCTTCTTATTACTTCAAAACCATCTTTAATTTCCTTTTCACTCTATCCCAAACACGGGGAACAATGAAATGTGTCCGTACATTAAAGTCAAAAACTCACATACGGGCACACACACAAAAAAAAAGGAAAAAAAAAAGATGACCACTCATAGAGAGACAGAAACAACCTTAAAGATGTATAACAATGGCCCTATTATAGTTTTTGCACGTCCTACACCCGTCAAATGCTAGGACTTATCACTCATTATCCTATCAAACAGAGTGGCATAGCTGTAATATCTATACCGGTCAATTTCCGGGAGCGTGCCAAGGCTACCGTAGCAGTCGTCGAGGTGATCATCCGCCGCCTCAATCTTCAGCGGCGGTGGCGACTTATTAGCCGTTTCTTGGCCGGTGACAGCGTCATTGTTGTAATTATGGGACGGAGCATCACATTTGGCTGATTCCTCCCACCGTCCACAAGTGACCAAACTGTTAGCTTCTAATTGCTGTTCCTTGTGGTTGAGTTGTTGTATTAGCAGTGCAAGAAATGCCTCGTCTTCGTCCCTAGTTAACTCATCATGTGCAAAGTTGGCATACAAGTTGTCGTAATCAGTTTCTTGATCTGTCTTGTCGGAGCTGTAGTCAGTGTCGTCACTGGTGGGACTGTTGTTGTCGTTTGTGTTTTGGTTAGAAAGGGCTGGTAATTGTTTGTTCGAAGCTTCAGATGGTTCTGCTCTTTCCCTCTTTTTAAAAGAGACGAACTGTTCCCAAGCAAAGAAATAAGCATATTAATAACTTTAATAATTGGTTAGAAGTTTTATGTTTAGTGTTGTATAAATTTTAGTGCCACATGGTACATATGGAACGCTAAAAATACTCAAAAGTACACAAAATACTTACAATCAGGATTAAGAGGGAATGTTAAGCAAATGTCATGCAAAAATAGTAGAGGCATACACTTATGAAAATACAGCACGTGTATATTAGCAGGCATATCACACTCATACACTAGAGTTTTTTGAGAGGGATGAGCTAATGCAGATGTGACTAAAACACTCCAGACTAGACTGCTGTCACATGGAAATCTACAGTAAATGATAGACTTGGTTGAGGAATGCTAAATGCACTTGTGAAACCGGGGCCGTCGGCTTCTGCAAGGCCCACCACGAAAACAAACGGCCGAGATCCGACACTCATAGCCCGTGTTAATTAGGCTCTCTAATAATATTGAAGTCTAGTTATTCACATGCAACACTTTGATATGAAAATTAGGCTTAGATTTTCTAACAAATGGTATGTTAGCGCGAGGTGCCCTCTAAATCTAATTGACCCCTGATCATTTCTCTTAAATAAACAATGTTTAAACACTAGAAATGTGGCTCCATCTTTAACATTTTTCACATCTTCGAGTAGTAGCTTTGAATGTAAAGCGTCTAGCTAGTGGGTGAGTGGCCCCCACTTGACAGAATTATATACATATAATATACATACACACTTGACATATATAGAAGAAGCAAAAACACCAATAGTTTTACGGTTTGTATGGCAAGTCCAGCCAAGAACTTGGAACCGTTTCTCAAGTCCAAACGTTTGTTTGTCTTAGCTGGCCGTTGAAAAAGCAATTTCTAATTGCCAACACATCATGTACTACGTGTCAATCAATACCTTTTCCCTGTTTTGTCCTTGTCTGCACCTTCCAATTCTGTCTTATTCCCTTTCACTTACTTCCAGGAGCATATCGTCATCATAATGGAAAAAGGGTAAGGGCAATGTTGTCTATATGAATGCAAAGTTTTGAAAAACTTGAACAACCTTTTCTTTTTTCTTTTTCTTTTGAATTTTCAAATCCCCTCCCCAATGTTTAAATCTGTTTTTTTTTTTTTTTGGGTCCATTAAGGAACTAAAAATAAAAGTAAAAATAAACTCACGAGATTCTTGCATTCATCCTCGTAAAGAGTAACGGAATCTCCAATCTCCAGCCCGTTCTGCTTTACAAAGTCTCCTGTTACATTGCAAGAGACTTGTTAAGATACTGAAAGCGAAAAGATAATATAGAGAGGCCCAAAATGCAAGAAATGAAGTATTGGTCACTAAAAACTTGGGAAAGATTATTATTAGCAAGTGGGTTTCACCTGTGTTTTCGAGTACATACATCCTGCTTTTGTTATTTGACCAGTATCTGTGTTTTGATCAAAATAATTCAGAAAATTGGCTTCAATATATAATAATATCAGGCAGAAAAAAAAAAAACGAACTTGTGAATAAAAGGTACTCACTTGTATCTCAAACTCCACTCCTTGTTGGAATATACGTCTCTGATCAGGACTTGGATGCCTTCTTTATCAGAAAGAATTGGAAGTTTTTCCTCTGCCTCCCTCTGGAATATGACATATATTATACAAGAAAATGAGCAGAAAAGTTTCAGCCCAACTTTTCAGAAATATGATAATTATATATGATTTGTTTCAAGTATATATACCATATTCACAGAGATAACCTATATAACTATCGAAATTGACAGATTGATATATATATATATATATATGTCCTATTTTCTTTCTTTATTTTGTTATATAGTGCAAAATTCGAGAAGTCAGCAAGGGCCTAGTTATTGGGCAGTCCAGATCACAATCATATTGCAGTAGTACCACTCAACATATAAGAGCCGAGCAAATCAAATAGAATTGATGGTCCTTTTTCCTTCTTTTCCTTTTCCTATACTGTATATATTTATCCTTTTGTTGGGAAAAAGGAAAAGCGATAAGAAAGAACAGGTTATAAGCAAACCAAGTATATAAGCAAGTAAAGATATCTTAGTAAAACAAAAAACCAAAAAAGAGAAGCAAACAAGCAACAAGCAAATGATCTCTTCACTCACTCACTCACTCACCTTTGGAAGGACAATCCTTCCCAAAGACCCAACGTCACTGTTCTTCAGCTCCTTCTTCAGCAGTGCTCTCAGTCTCTGTACCCAAAATAATTAATCACAGTGGTCTAACGCTAATACCACACACCTGACTCTCCTATAAAGTGTAGAATTCAAATTTCCCGATCCCTAAGTTCAAGAAAAAAAAAAACCAACCTTTTTATCTGGAGTGCAGAAGTTGTAGAGATCTCGGTTGATAGTACTGATCTTATTATCAGCATTCTTGAAATGAGTACCAGAAATGGGCAGTACTGCTTCTGATCTAGTACTGTCCCTTTGAGACAAACTAACCCCAGTAGTAGTACTAGAATAATTAGGATTAGAATTGGAATTAGAATTAGAAGAAGAAGTGCTAGTGCTTCTGCTCAAAGTGAGGCTTCTTTGGCGAGCCAATTTCCGCTTACTCCGAGCGGCCTTGGTCATCCACGCATCGAAGAGCCTCTTCTCTTGCTCTTTCGACATTGACACGACATTCGATTGAGGATTAGCCACGCCGAGCTTAACCGACCCATTTTGCCCGCCCACAGCCACCGCGAAATTACCAGGAACCGAGAAAGACTGCCCACCAGCACCAGCTGGGAATTGCACCAGGCCTTGATGCTGATGAAGCAGTGTTTGCATTTGCAACGGATACTGATAACAGTAATTAGGAGGCTTATAAATGGAGAAGCAGTACTGGGAATTATGATTATTATTGCTGTCGTTGTTAGCCGCCATGGAATTAGAGGCTGATGAGGAGGAAAGAACATTGCTAGTGCTAGTACTGCTGATGGGAAACTTCTCCATGATTATTCAAGAGAGAAAGGGAGAGAAAGAGAGAGAGAAGTGATGAGTGAGAGAGAATAGGGAGTGTGTTGGTGTGTGGTTGTCTGTATAAGAAGGGGTGTGTGGGGGTGTGGTGCCAGTGGAGGGAGTCCAGGTGTGGCAAAAGCGAGAGAAACGCGTCGAAATGGCTCTGAAGAGAGAGAGAGAGAGAGAGAGAGAGAGAGAGAGGTGGTATAGTGAGATATTGATGAAATAGAAGAAGAGGGGGGTTCCAATGGGGTGGATTGGGCGACAGGTGGGAGGGGAGTGCTGGTTTTGGGATACCCATCTGACCATTCTCAGCCCGAGAGAGAAAAAACTCACTCTAATATTTACTCTCCTAAGTTGGCGCCACCTTTCGTTTAAATGTGCCAGAACTTGGGCTCTTCTAATTTGCACAGAACACCATGCCAGCCACCCATATATATACATATATATATATATATATATATATTACATATCCTTATATATTACATCTTCATGCCACACCCATATGATCACTTCAGTACTTGCACTTTTCTCTTGCCCAGTTAGGGGCTTTCATTTGGTGGGAGGTATGGGGTTGGTTTAGTTTCGAGTTTTGATCAGTTTGAAGCTAAGATTCAAAGAAAAAAGACGTTACTTGGCGATGTGATAATGTTAAATGTTAATTTTAATTCATGTCTTCCTAAGTGGAGGGCATATATCTCATTCACATATGAGAAGAGACAATTGTTGCTGTAAATATCACACGGGAACAAGATCAAAGGACTCCCTAAAAATGGCAAAGCGTGCACGCGCCTTGTCTTTTTGGTAGTTTCTAATTAGTTGTATTTTATTTTCACGAAAAGTACGATGTTTAACACATAAAAATAGTTGTTATTAGAGGGCTGACGGCATACCTTCAGTTTTTATTTGCAGAAAAAATAATATGCCTGTTAGTGGCAATGATTTCATTTCAACATGTTATAATATTTGAAATGAAAAGTATATACAATTGGGCTTTACAATCACACACATATGATAAATTTTATGTACTATTAAAAAAAAATTATGATACATTGTTGTGTAAGTTCCATTTAATGTGTGGGATGTGCGTGAATTTAACTCTTCAATTTTATGTTCGCAATTAATGTGTGTAAAATGAAAAACGGCAGCCTAAATAGTGATTCTCGTCTTAACTTGATTCGCCTCATTTTTTTTCCTGCTAGTTCTGTATATTAATCTGATATTCTCTTGTAGCAATGTCGTTTCTTGGACCTCCCCGTTCATCAATGTTGCCTTCAAGGCCATCCTCAGCATCAAACAAAGTTTGCTTTTTGGTAATAAAATTAAAAGAAATCTTAAGTTCGAAATTATAATCTTAGCATTAATTTTGGAATGTCAGAATGTAGGATAAACTAATGTATCATTGTTAAATAACTGTTACGAATTCAATGTACAGTTCATGCTTACTAAGGTGGTGTCTTTATTATTTTGTTTCCCCTCTGAGGTTTTAATTTGGTCAATAGGAAAGATCAGTTACATACAACTGAAAAGTAAACAAAAACTAATTTCTACTCTTAAAAAAAAAATAATTTATATATAATCATCAAAAGGGACGTAGCTGCACCAAAATTAATTAATGCGCTAAACTCTCGTTAAGTAAGTGACTTAAATTGATTTTGAGAAAGTTACTATTTTGTGTTTTTGGAGAAGTTACTGTTTTCAATTTTTGGGAAAGGGTCATTTTATGATTTATTAAGAGTCTATAAATAAGTGTTTTGTGTAAAGCTTTATGTATGTGCTTAGAGAAAAGTGTTGAGAGAGTGCCTCCTTTTGAAAGAGAGAGAGAGAGAGACAACAAAGTGAGGAGAGAGATAGGCAAGGGTGTAAGGAGTTTTGGGTAGAGAGAGAAAGTAAGAAAGTTTGTTGAGTGTGTAATTCTGAAACTGTTAGTGAGTTTTTTACTATCTTCCGTGAACGTAGACAATTTTTCTGAACCACCTAAATTTTTATCTTCTCTATTATTATGTTATTTTTGTTTAAGTTTATTTTTCTGTTGCATGAGTGTAGGGGTGTGTTTTTTCCCAAACAACTCTAAAGCTAGTTAATTATATGAATCACTTAAAATTAGTATTGTAATAAGGCTACATCAAGCGTCAAATAAAGCAATATATCTATGACTTGGTAAATAAATGCTTTTTAAAAAAAAAATATGTACTTGTGCTTTGAGTCCCTCCCCATTTACATCAATTTATAGTTCAGAAATAAAAGAGATTCCAATTGATCTTAGGGAAAATTCAACATAGAGAGGTCAAAGATATGGCAGGAAGTTTGGTGCTAAAATATTAAATTAACACGGGTACATCTGCTAAAAGCTTTAACCTTTTAAGAAGATGATTATGTTAGGTCACCGGGTACCTGCAACACAGAATCAACACACACGCACACCATAGCTAGATTATTGAAGGAACCTCAACTAAAGGTCCAAATTCATTAATCGTCGCTGGAAACCACGAGCTTAGCTCAGCCAGCAAATCAGAAACAGTAAGAATTAGTTTTCTCTTTTGATACCCTCCCACGCACAATCCTTTCCCTTAAATCTCTAAAGCCGTTGTAACCTCCCTACTCCCTAGGCACTATTCCCTAGCCTAACCTAACCACCTATAGGCCACATCAGCAACCTTCCTCACACACTCACATCCCTTCCCCAACCGAAAACATTACGAGCTATTCTAGAGTATGTCTGTTCGTATATGTTTTACCTAGGCTTGGGTGTAACATTACTCCCCTCCTCAAAAAGGACCTTGTCTTCAAAGTCGAAGGTAGGGAAGCAGACTTGCAGCTCTTCCAAGGCCTTCCAAGTGGCATGCTCGATGTCACGCCCCTGCCATTTATCCAACACCTCTTTACTGACCTGCCCCATTGCCTCCTCAAGTGACCCTGCAACACGCCTTCTGGAAACAACAGTTCGGGAGTGTCCGCCGCAGTATCCATAACCACCGGTTCCTTTGAAACCGTACGCCTACCGACCACCTTTTTAAGCATAGACACATGGAAGACAAGATGTACCTTGGAACCCTCTGGTAGACGAAGTCGGTATGCTACTGGTCCTACCTTGCCGATCACTTTAAATGGGCCATGATATTTTGGTGCCAGTTTATTGTTGGAGCGCCTGGCCACGGTACCCTGTTAGTAAGGTTGTAGTTTCAACTAAGCGAGCTCCCCAACCTGAAACTTTCGCTCCACCCGCTTTTGATCCGCATAACGCTTCATCCGTTCTTGTGCACGCTCTAAGTTGCTGCGTAACTGTTTCAGCTGTTCATCTCGTTCAGAGAGTTGCATATGAACCGAACCAACTGTTTTTTTACCCCCTGTATAGCGTATCAAAGTCGGGGGAGCCTGGCCATACAGTGCCTGAAAGGGCGTTGTACGGGTAGTGCCGTGGAAATTGGTGTTGTACCAATATTCTGCCCAACACAACCACCTACTCTAATGCCTAGGTTGGCCACTGGTGAAACACCTTAAGTACGCCTCCAAACAAAGGTTAAAGACTTTTGTCTGCCCATCCGTTTGAGGGTGATATGCTGAACTCATACGTAAGGTGGTGTGCTGGAGGCGAAACAGCTCTCTCTAAAAAAGCCTAGTGAAAACCTTATCGCGATCACTCACTATACTCCAAAGTATGCCGTGAAGACGAACCACCTCTCGACAAAACACCTCGGCCACCAACTTAGCGGTGAACAGCCACTTGAGGGCAATGAAATACACGAATTTGGTCAAGCGGTCTACCACCACAAAAATTACCTCATGACCATTGGATTTAGGCAGGGCCTTGATGAAATCCATCGAGATGTCCTCCCATACTGCCTCAAGAATGGGTAATGGCTGTAGCAATCCTGCCGGACTCGTAGACTCCACCTTGTTTTGTTGACAAATCCTACATTCAGCCACAAATCGTTGCACATCCCTTGCTATACCCGGCCAATACACGCTAGCGCTAATCCGCTTGTACGTCCTTAGTGCCCCCGTATGTCCCCCCATAGGGGTTGAGTGAAATTCATCCAATAACTGGGGCTTGAGTTGGGAACTCACTGGAATCACTATTCGACCTCGATGCAACAACACCATTCTCCACTGCATAATGACCTCCTTGTGCTTCTCCGCGGCTCAACTGATCCTTGAGGGTGCGAAGGTTGGCGTCAACAGCTACTTCCTATTCCACCGATGCCATGTCTAGAAATTGGGGTCCCGAAATAGCCAGCAACTCCTCTCCTTGTGTCCAGCTGCCTCGACGAGACAAGGCATCGGCCACTGTATTTTTTCTTCCTACTCGGTAGTGGATGTCAAACTCAAACCCCATCAACTTTTGTTGTGCCGAGGTACTGATTCGTTGTTCCAAAAGAAAATGAAGGGACTTCAGATCAGTACGCACCACAAACTTCCTGCCGAGAAGGTTGGCTCTCCATTTCTGGATGGCCAACACCAGCGCCATAAGTTCTCTCTCATACACAGACTTGCCCATCGTTCAAGGCAACAGCCCCTTGCTAAAATAACCCACCGGTTGCCCTCGCTATAATAAGACCGCCCCTATCCCTGCCCCTGATGCATCTGTCTCAACCTCAAATGTGTCATTGAAATTGGGTAAGGCAAAGACTGGAGTCTCCGTCATCCGCCGTTTAAGTTCTTGGAATGCCCGCTGCGCCTCCTCGAACCAAGCGAACTCACCCTTTTTTAACAATTCTGTCAAGGGCCGCGCGATGGTGCCATAATTTTTAACGAAACGGCGGTAATACCCTGTCAAACCCAGGAAGCCACGCACCCCCTTTACTGTGGCAGGAATTGGCCACTCAACCATACCTCGTATCTTTTTCAGATCGGCTGCCACGCCCTCCTGTGAGATGCGGTGTCCCAAATATTCCACAGAGTCCCGAAAAAACAAACATTTCTTCAGATTGAGCACAAAACTCTCTTACTTCAACAACCCCAACACGATGTGCATGTGATCCAAGTGCTCTTGT